TCTCCTTTGAAGCTATGTCACATGACTGGCAGACATGATTGACAGGTGGTGTTATACAATTCTGGGCAGAAGAGCTCAAAACCTGTTCCCAGCATTCCTGGTGAAAGCCCACAAGGGAGTCAAAACCATAATGCTAATATTAGAATTGCCTCATCATTTGCCAAAGATTACCTTGGGGAATATTGCAGCTTGGTGAGCATGCCCAGGGGACCCACTGGGACAGGTTTGACTGAGGAGGTATACAGTCTCCAGAAAGAACCTGGACTTCTAACTGCAGATGAGTGTGACCTTCCTGTCACCCAATTTTAGGATTCCCTACCCTTGGTCTGCCCCTAATTTCTCTCTCCCCTCCTGTGGACCTGTGCATTTCTACAGAATTACCCTGTTTCTTCATATCTCTACTGCTCATGTCCACCTGTTACCTATCACTCTTACAACTCAACAAAAGATAAATTTTAAAATAGTCAAAGGATCTGAATAGACATTTCTTCAAAGAAGATACAAAAGTAGTAAGATATGAAAAGATGATCACCATCATTAGTCATTAGGAAATGCAAATCAAAACCACAACAAGATACCACTTCATTTTCATTAGGATGACCAGAAGTCTAGAATAAACTTCAGATAATAACAAGTCTTGGCAAGGATATAGGGAAATGGAAACCCACGTGCATTGCTAGTGAAAATGTAAAATGGTGCTGCTGCTGTAGGAAACAGTTTGGCAGTTTCTCAAGAAATTAAAACATTAGAGTTGCTCTATGACCCAGCATTCTATTTCTAGGTATTCCATACAAAAACTTGTACATGGATATTACAGAAGCATTATTCATAATAGCCAAAAGGTATAACAACCCAATGTCCATCAATTGATGATGAATGAATAAAGAATATGTAGAAAATATCCATACAATGGAGTATTACTGAGCCATTAAAGGGAACAATAAATGCCATATATCATATCATATAATTATATGAGTCCACTTAAATGTCATGTCCAAAATAGGCAAATCTAGAGAGATAAAAAAAAAAAAAACAGATTTTGATTTTCAGGTCCTGGTGGAATGAGGGAGTAGAAGACTGCTAATGATTGTGCAGTTTCTTTTTAGAAAGATTAAAACATTGGTTGTACAAACTTGTACACGAAAAACCACTGAATTATACTTTAAAATGATGAATTTTATAGCATATGAACTATAATTTTAAAAATAGTATAAGGAAATGGTCAATATTATATAATATTATATATGGCTGGTGGGAACATACATTGGTACAATCTCTTGAAATTCAATTTTTCGATATTTATCAAAATTACAAATATTATCTACTCTTAAATCCAGAAAATTCCTTTTCTAGGAACTTGTTATATAAATGTGTTCAAATACTTGTAAAATGACATGTTTACAAGATACTGACTTCACCTTCTTTGGGATATCAAAAGAACATTCATCATTATGTGGCTGATTAAATAAAGCATGGTATATCCACTTAACAAAACATTATGAAGCCATAAAAATTAATGAGGATGCTCTTTATTTAACAACATGGAATGATTCAAATATTAAGCAAAAACAAAATGACATGCAAAATGGTATGAAGGGTTTGTTACCATTCTTATGAAAAAAGGGGAATATCTACATAAGTATTTGCTTCTACACTCATAGAGCACTTTCAGAAGGACATACACAATTCAGTGAGCACTGTTTGCCTACAAACATTGGAACTAGAATCTAAAGAACAGAACGTGTGGGGGAGGGATTTTCAATATATGCCTTTTTTGTGAGTTTCGAGTTTTGAAACCACATGAATGTGTTTTCTATTTTAAAAACAAACAAAATATAGATTTTTAAAAGATTTTTAAAATGATGAGTAAATAAATCTGCAGGAAGACCATGAGCCTGAGTTTAGAGAAACCAGAATTCTGTTTCCTGAGTTTACTAGGAACTACTTACCTCATCTGCTATTCATTTTCCCCATGTTGCCCACCCACCTCACTCAGGCTGTCTATATATTTTTCACCAAAACATAGATGTTTAGAAAAAGATCATTTGTGAGGATTATTAACAACTAAACATATTAAAATTTTTAAAAAGATTAATTCATACTTCTGTTTAAGTAAATTGATAATAGCAGAATAAGTAGCACACACAATTTGTAAAGCACAAAAATGTTAGGCAAGATGAATCTTTCCACCAACAGATGGCGATAGTGGGTAGCATAATGTGCATTTGCCAAGTTATAATCTTGTACTAAGGACACAAAAACTTTAGAGTCAAAAAAATTTAAAACTACAGAGAGTGTTAGATATTATAAATTACTAATATATTATGTATGATATTATATGTTATTACACATCTATATTATATAAGAGCCCAACTCCTTTATTTATTTATATGGAAATGATGTCATCAAGGTAAGAATTTGACACAACCAAAACAGAAACCTACACCTCATAATTCCTAATCTAAACTCCTAATACTTTAGCAATTAAAAAAACTAAAACTCAGGCTTTCAAGGGAGTGCAAAAACAGTCAATCAAAGTTTGTTGATCACTTTTCTAATCCTGAGACAATTATAGGAAGGGGCTCTCTAAACATTAACTTAAAATGTGGTTACCAGGTTCACATACTACGTAGTTCTTCCAAGTGCCTAATTTTGAAACAGCCAACAAATTTTCTTATTTTATTATGCAAAATTATGCACAACAAATTTCCTCATTTTATTATACAAAATTATATACAACAAATGACTTCTTCAGAAATAAAATCTATTTCCATTTTATACTTAGGCAATTTCTAACTAAAAAATATGACATTAATTTTTTTAATTGCGACATTTAGGAATGACCTAAATGTCAAAAATGAGATTATTTAGTAACTATGAATCAGCTTTTAAAATGATATTTCTAATAATTCTACATAGGCAATATGTTATTTTGGTTATAGGCACAAACTTTGGAACACACTCCGGTTCACATCCTACTCCACCATTTACTAGTCCTGTGGCCCTGTGACAAATTTCTTAGTCTCTTCCAGCCTCAGTTTTCTTTTTAGAATATAGGGATGCTAAGAGTAGTCCTATCTCATAGGATCTTTGTGAGAATTAGTTAATACTTGTAAAGTGACCAGGACAGTACCAGCATATAATGCATGAGGGCAATAAGACTCCTAAGCCCTCCGACAAGTGTTTACTCCTTTAGAAGAAGATGCTTATTAGCCCAGCATCTAGTTTCATGAACTCTGAAAGAATAAAATGGGTAAAAGAAAAGTCAAGAGAAAGATTTGAGAAAGCTAGCGTGCCTAGAGTCAGCTACAAGGAGAGATCAATAAAGGATTTTGGAGTAGCCAGCTTCACCTTTCTTCTATTCCTTAACCACAGGGTTCTCCAAATACTCAAGTATTTTCCCAAGACTGAATGTTGGTGTCTGATGGGAGAGGATATTAAGGGATAAAAGCAGTCAATTCGATATTTTGAAATATGGCATTTGCTTTCCTGTTCAAGTCTGTTGGAAGGGAAGTCATTGGAGAAATGAATGGCCCTTCATTCTTTTGCAATGTAAGTTCAGTTCTCTTATTTGGAGCAAATGCAGAACCCTTCAGATAGACTTCACCTTCCTTTTCTCCCTTTTCTTTAGTTGCATATCCCTCTACTCCTACAAAGTGTCCTAGGGTGAGGTTTGCATTACAGTAGGGATTCCTGATTACATTTAGCAGCACCATTGGAACCCTGTGAAGTACTCACTGCTGACCATGAAGGAAACCACACGTTTTATCTCCACTGCAAAACCTTGGCTACAGCTGTTTCTTAGCAAAATAATTTCCTCTTTATAAAAGTCTTCAGACCACCGTTCAAATCTCTATTTTAAATGAATCTTCCCTTCTCTTGGTCTTCGGACACCATGAGGCTAGGTTTGGTCTGAAAGTTTATGTGAACATCTACTTGGGAGGTCAGGGTTCAAGGATATCTCCTGTGACTAGCACAATATGCTTGAAATGTTTGATTAAAATAAAAGTTATACATCATCTAAACTATATATGGGGGAAATATATGTGTGTTGTATCCAACAGCACCAATATGAATTACTGTATTCAATTTTACTCGTATTGAGGGGAAAGTTCTGTTTTATAGGCCCGAAATAACTAGTGGACATAGACAAAGCACAAAACAGCATTACCACTTTCTAGCTGTATGATTCTAAACATTTCATTTAGTTTTTGCAGGACATTTCTTCATCTGTTTCAATAATTACCTTTAAAGACATTAAAGCACTCTGAAATGTTCTTGCTCTTCTTAGTCATCTAACATATACACACTCTGTACATTTTCTCTATTAATTACAGAGATGTTTCTAAAGAAAAGCATTAAAAGAGTGAAGATGCTCAAAGGGGTTCAATACAAAGTTAAACAAAGGAATATCAGCAGCCCAAGAAAAATCAGTCTGGGGTTTTCATTCTATGGATGTTGAGAACTTGGAAAAATTACTTCAATCATTGGTTTAACACTCCTAACCTATGACCACTGGGTTCCTGTAGTACCTGGGTCGCCCTCAAAGCAGGGGCTTTGATTTTGACTACTCCGGGGGACCCAACCCTTTCCCTCTCCCTCTCCATTCCTCCTCTATAAGGTTGCTCAGGAGAGGCCCTTCTGACTTTTCTGCATGCTGATGGCCAGGCAGGAAGCCTACCATTCCCAGAAACCTCTTCGCCAGACCTTTAGAAAACGAAAGCCCACTCTAGAACCAGGGCAGGGGCGGGGGGCTCCGTGATGCTGCGCGACCTGAGCTGGSCATGCGCAGAGCCGCGGCAGGCTGCAGGCCTGGGAGGAGCGAGGACCCCTCAGCCCAGGCGAGAAGCCTCCTGGCCTGGACCCAGGTTTGACAACTGAGCCCAGTTGGTCCACGCCCGCGTCTCGCAGGCCAAGTCTGGCCGGGAGAGGGAGGGCCGCGGCCGCAGGCGGGCGGGGCTGGGCGCCGGGCCGAGCGGGCTGCCGGGGAGGCTGCGTACCTGGTAGCGGCCAGTGAGCAGCTGGCTCCGCGACGGCGTGCACAGCGGCTGCGTGTAGTAGTTGTCCAGGAGCACCCCGCCGGCGGCCAGCGCGTCCAGGTGCGGCGTGCGAATGTACGAGCCGTGGAAACCCACGTCGTTCCAGCCCAGGTCGTCCGCCAGCACGAAGACCAGATGGGGTGGCCGGCCGGCCTCGGCGCCCCGGCCCGGCTGTGGCAGCCAGAGCATCAGCCAGAACAGCAGCCAGAGCAGTGGCAGCGGCGGCAGCCGCAGGCCAGGGCCTTGGTGCAGGCTCGCCGCCGCGCCGCGCGGGCCCATCCTGCGCTGCACGAGGGCCCGTGCCAGTGGCGCCACCAGTCCCCAGCACCGCTGGTAGAATCAGGAACTGGTGCTGGCCTGCTCCGCCCCGGCGCGGGACTTCACCCTGCAGCACCGCGGGCTGGGGAGGCGGATCCCCTCGCACCCGCAGCTTCGGAGCCGGGCCCTCGGTGGTTGTGGCGGGGAGGAGCCAAAGTGGGCTCCCTCTGGCCAGCGGGGAGTAAACTCCGCGGGTGTTGAAAGGCACCAAGACCCTTATCTTTTCTAGCGATGAGCTTGGCACCGTGGCATCCTAAAAGAGAATATGTGTTCTTTTTAATAACTCTCAACAGTTTACAGAGCATTTTTACATCCTTTATGTCTAAATCCTGGCAGCTAGGCATTGTAATTAGTGCCCATTTTTCAGAAGAAACAAGCTTATAAATGGTTGAGCCTCAGGCTCTAGATTCTGAGGTATGCTATTTTAACAAGTCATTTCTACTCAAGAGGCCACCCTAGGGCCTGTGGGAGGATAGTGAAGAAGCAGTAGTCTAGATTGTGTTTAGATTAGTATAAGAATAGTGCACATCTGTGAAACCACTTCCTCCCCACCAGCCAACAGTGGGCCAAATACTCAGTCTGGCTGCACAACGTCTTTTTGAAGGGACAGTTTACTTGCAGGTTGCCCTAGAATTGTTTGGCATGTTGAGTGGTCATTGAATAGCTAATTCGGGCTTCTCTACCAGGTAGTGAACCCTAGAAGTACAATATCTAATTTGCCTGAAACGCCTGGAGGCGTTAAAGGAAGATTTCCTTTAATATGTCCTTATTGAATTGGGAAGTTAACCTTATGACCAATATATTCCCAGTATCATCTGTGACTTTCTGCTTACTCTATGTCTGGAGATAAATTATAGTTGTTAAGGGCAGGGGGAAGTGTTTTTTTGCATTGCCTAGAAAACACATCTTTTCAGGTTGAGGCTGAGTCTGTGGGAGTTACTTTAAACAACTTTTAAGTTGTAGACAAATGATAGCCATGAAAAATAATTCTTGTTTTTATATGCACATGAACTCTGGAGTGACACCCCTCCCCCTTCAATGTCACCATTAAGGAAAAAAGTTTCACCTCCACTGGCACATTTATTATAATATTCCTGATCTGTTCTGTGAATTGTCCTTTGCATTGGTTTTAACATCAGTTTCCTCCTTAATGAGTTAAATAAAATCTCACCGTGTATTCATTACTATATTTGTGTGAGGGTCGTGATTTTACCTATGGGGGTGGTATCCTTTAATGCACAAAATGGTGTTTTTTTTACAATTTTTTCCTTTAATTAGTGTTATTTATATTATATCTACTTTTCATCTCAAGTGGAATCTGTGAAATTTAGCAGGAAAAATATTTTAGCATTAACTAAATTCAAAAGAGAAAATTTTAAGTTGTGCTCTTTGACTTCTTATGAAGAAGTCATTTAAAGATCCTGTAGAAGATCTTGAAGGACTAAGAATTTCCACTTTGCCTGTGCAGATCCTTCTTCCCCATGTACCCTTCTTGATAAAAATCAAATTGCCCAAACAATGGCTGTTAATCCTCAGGAAGGATTCTTTCTCTAATCAACTGTTGCTGAAACTAACTGAATCTTCTCATGTCCCATGTTTTCAGATAAGAGCTTATACTAGTAGTGCTCTGCAAATGTGCAGATGGATGAGTTAATTCTATTTTTTATCCATGTGTCAAACACATATAATGTACAGTACAGACTAGTAATTTTATAAACTCTCTTCATTGGAGTTTGTTTGATGTTTCCTTATTATAAGATTTAGGTTATGTGTCTGTGCAAGTTTATTACAAAAGTGATGAGGTATGCTTCTCAGTGCCTCAAATGAAGAGGCTCATGATATTGATTTGCTCTCTTAATGGAGTAGCTTTGTCAAGGTAGTCATTTCTCCAGTGTAAAGTTACTATTATCCACTTGTGATTAATGTGTTACTTTATGTAGAGAGATGCTTTGAGAATATGTTAATATTCTGTTATCCCTCAAATTTTTGCTTATTATAAGTTTTAGTGTCTTGCTTTTGCTTCAGTTATAATTAGGATAGCTACTTGATGCGTGACATCAAGAGTGATTTTTCTAATTATATCACTTCTGTATTTATTAGTTGCTTTTCTACTGTAAGAAAATTTTATCTTCCTATTGATTTATTTCAACATGAATTCATGAGTTCTTGTTTTAATCAATATGTGCTAATCCTTTACTATAATTACTTCAATGCTTGAATTTTCTCTGGTTTGGCCAGGGAGCCCTTTCAATCTGTCTCATATCCTTTTGGCATGTCCTCTTCAAACTTTGAGGATTTCCTTACCTTTTGGTACAATGAGATTTTCAACTCCTTATGTATTTTCCTTCTCCAATCCTGTAATCAGACATTTCTTCAAGGAATTGTGATTCTTCTTAATAGAAGATGGCATTTAGAAACCAAGATGTTTACTTTAGGAGTGCTCATTACTACTGAGCTGTCATTGCTTCTAGACTGTCTCACCAAACAACCAATGAAACTAGACATGTATGTATATACACACATACATAAATGTTCATATATACATACCCACATACTGAGTGTGTGTATAAAACCATGAGTTCATAGTGAATAACTCTTAATTCTGTTTTCTCCCCCTTTCCATATATGTGGTGTGGGTTGTGACCATTTTCATTATCACCAGCTATTAAAAAGTACTATATTAAAGACAGACTTGCAGAAAACGAATCATACTCTTACCCTATGATCCAGAAAATCCACACCTTGGTATCTACCCAAAAGAGTTAAAAACTTAAGTCCACACAAAAATCTGCACACAGATTTTATGCAAGCTTTATTTATAATTACCAAACTTGGAAGTAACCAAGATTGTCCTTTAATGGGTGAATGGATAAACTGTGATGCATCCAGATGATAGACTATTATTAAGAAATGAGCTTGATAAAGCCATGAAAAGACATAGAGAAATCTTAAATCATTGAGTGAACGAAGCCAATCTGAAAAGGCCACAAACTATTAATTCCAAATATGTGACGTTCTGGAAAAGGCAAAACTATGGACATAGTGAAAAAGATCAGAGGCTGAGGGAGAGAGGTAAATAGGCAGAGCACAGAGGATTTTTAGGACAGGTAAACTATTTTTATCATACTAAAATGTTAGACATATGTCATTGTGTACATTTGTCCAAACCCACAGGATGCATGACATCAAGAGTGATCCTTAAAGTAAATTATGGACTTTAGGTGATTATCTTAGTCCATTTTCTGTAGCTATAAGAATACCACAGACTGAGTAGAGTATAGAAGAAGAGAGTTTCACTTTGCTCACAGTTCTGGAAGCTGGGAAGTCCAAGAACATGATATGGGAAATCTCTGTATCTTCCTCTCAATTTTGCTGTGAATCAAACTGCTCTAAAAACATTAAGTCTTAAAAAAAAAAAAGGTACAATAGCTAGACTGTGGAACCAACCCAGATGCCCTTCAATAGATGAATGGATAAAAAAATGTGGCATCTATACACAATGGAGTACTATGCAGCAATAAAAAATGACAAAATCATAGAATTTGCAGGGA